ATATATATATACAAAAAGGGCAGATGGATGGAAAGCCTTGGGGGTGGCACATCAGCAAAGTCCCCAGCTTCCTTTGGGCAAGCCCCTCCCCAAAGCAGGGTGACTGGTGGAGCTCCAATATCAAGCATCCCCTCTCCACTACAGCCTTGCCTTCACTCATCCCCCAGAAACCACAACCCATCTGCTTCCCTCTCGTCTTCCGTGCTGGGAAACTGCTCGAGGCTCTGCACAGAGCTGTTACACGGCAAGATGTTCTCTGACATTTCCAACGAGACTTTTGTGTGCAAAACATCTCACTCGGGTGGGTGCCTGGGAAGTACTGGGGAAGCCATGGCAACAGGAGCAATTCATGACTCGGATCTCGCCACGATCTTCTCTGTTTTCACTCTGCTTTGTGGTTCACACCAGCTGCCCTTTGGCATGTCCTACCAGGAGCACCATGGGCCACACTGCTCCCCACCATCTGCCCGTGGGAACATAGGGCACAGGTTTCAATGTAGACTGGCTGTTTGGCTTTGAAATTACCCAACAAGCCTTAGTGGCCAAAAACACCTTTAAGGAGCAAGACAAGCCAGTGATGCACAGAGCCCATGGGGCAGGTGAACTGGGGAGGGATGAAGGGCCAGGCTGGAGCAGTGTGAGGTACTGCCCGGGGGATGTCCCTTTACTAACATGAGACAACCTGTGGGTCACTCTAGGCATTAGAGTAGGTGAACTTTAGGCACGGGCCAAGCACCTGGGGAGGGAGAGCTGCTCTCCACAGAGCAGCCAAAAGATCCAGCTAGTAATGAAAGGTAGTGGTGTCCCCACGCATCTTCTCAGCCATGAGAAGGTTCTCCTCATCAGCCAGCCTGGGCTGCAGAAGCAACCCCAGCCCCTGCCCTATCAATGAGCAGGATGCTTTGGCTCAGCCCTTGCAGGACCATGGGGTTTACATGGGCTTAGACAGGATACTGGGGGAAAACAAAGTGTTTTTTCTAGTAAGATATCTGTAGTATCTCCAGGCCTGGGGGAGCAGAGGCAAGTGTTTCCGCAGCAGGCTCCAGGACACAGCCTGAGGGAGCAGAGGAGCAGCAGGCCTTGCCCCTAGCCCACAGCCAACACCCTGGACCTGGGCCCCACATCCAGCCTTGCAGGAAGGGTCACTTCCAGCCCAGTGATGCCTTTTCCATGAGCACTGAGGGGTGCTCGCTGTCATGACTCCTCTATTCCTCCAGCAGCCCAGGCCACCGTCCCTTTCCATCCCCAATGTGTTTTCCATTCCTATTCCTCTCCTCAAGCAATGAATTTCTGACAGCAGCTGGATGTTAGTCTTTGGAAGCTGCCTTACCAAGATTTTCCCATTGAAAGTGGTGAAGTGACAGACCAGAGACATTTGCTGGCCAAGGAGGATGAATCAGCTTCAAAGTGAACACAGAAGGATCTCTTCCTGTGGCTGGCAAACAGTAAGAGCTCCCACTTGAGTCACATGAATTTTGGCTGCCAGGAGAGCAGAGAAAAGCACAAAGCAGAGTGGGCAGGACACCCCCAGCCCTAGGCCTGGCATCAATGAGCTTCCCGGCCCGATTCACAGCTGCTCGTGACTTGTGTGCCAGAGCAAAGCTCCGCTCCCAAAGAACAAAAAAAAACCTCACTGAGATGCAACCCCAGCCCAAAGCAGAGAACTTCTCAAAACCAGCAAGCAAAAAGAAAATGCATATCAAGGGTGTGAGCAAAGAACAGCCAAAAGAGCTAGCCAGTAATGAAAGGTGGTGGTGTCCCAGCACAGCTTCTCAGCCATGAGATGTGCCCCAACAGCCAGCCTGGGCTGCAGGAGCAGCCCCAGCCCCTTGCCCCACGATGACCAGGATGCTTCAGCTCAGCCCTTGCAGGACAAGGCTGCCTTTAACCCCTTCAGTGCCTAATGATCAAAAGATCAAGGTGGCTTTTGGCAAAGCCTCTCTGCTACAGTCATAGAATCATTTAGGTTGGAAAAGACCTTTGAGATCATTGAGTCCCACTGTTAACACAAAACTGCCAGGTCACCACTGAACCATGTCCCTCAGCACCACATCTACATGGCTTTGAAATCCCCCAGGGATGGGGACTCCATCACTGCCCTGGGCAGCCTGTTCCAATGCTTGATAACCCTTCTGGGGAAGAAATTCTTTCTAATGCACAGTATAAACCTCTCCTGGTGCAACTTGAGGCCATTTCCTCTTGACCTATCACTTGTTCCTTGGTAGAAGAAACTGACCCCCACCTGCCTCCAACCTCCTTTCAGGGAGTTGTTCAGACCAAGATTTCTTCTGAGCCTCCTTTTCTCCAGGCTCAACATCTGCAAGTTCTCTGGATGCTCTTCACCAGACTTGTGCTCCAGACACTTCACTAGCTTCTTGCCCTTTTCTGGACATGCTCCAGCCCCTCAGTGTCCTTCTTGGAGTGAGAGGCCCAAAGCTGAAGATAGTATTCAAGGTACCTCACCACTCAAGTACTTCAATTCTCACTAGTGCCAAGTACAGGGAGGATGATCCCTGCTCTACTCCTGCTGGCCACAGCCCTTCAGGCTCTGCCCATGCAAGACCACATTGAGGCTCCCCAGCTCCCAGCCCCCTTCCAGACTTTGCTGCCATCTGACACATTCATCCAGGAGCCTCTTCCCTTGCCCAGAATTGTTCCTGCCAGGAAAGTGAATTAACACCTGGTTCCGCCCACTAATGCCAAAGAGCTGCTGCTTTCATGCCAGCTCAGGAGGGAGGAACGGGCTGCCCATGCCCCGACCCTGCCCCACCGCCCATCCATGCAGCCATATCTCGCTCTCGTCTGGCTGAGATCCCTCATCCGCCCATCCCTCCTCTGCCTGACAACTACTCTCTGCCCGAGCCAGCTGGGAAGCCACAACAGCTGCGTTCCTGCCCGGGCAGTACAAGGACAAACCCATCTCAAGGCACAGATGGCCACAAGGCTTCACCTTCCAGTCCGGTGGTAGCTGGGCGCCGAATCCCAGAGCAGGAAACATCTTGTCTCTAAAAGAGAAGAAGAAAGACGTATGGGTGTGTGCATACACACAAAGCTGGCTTGCATGGCTCTTGCCACGGCCTCCCCGTGCCACCAGCTGCCCAACGCCCAGCTACAGTAAAAGCATCAGCTAAAAAAAAGGTGCCAGCATTCCCTTCCCCCCCAAACCCTCAGAGTGCCTCTAAAAGTCATGAGAGATGAACAAAGACAGAATAGATGTTCCCCTTTGGCTTTTTATCTTTAGAGAAAAAGGAGTCCAGCTTTGTTTCATCACCCACAAGGACCAGGAGCATCCTCTTGCCCAAAAGCCTGAGCTTCTTGCAGACATCTCACCCTGGAGATTTAAAAACAATTTAGCTATTCATTTTGGTCACAAAAGCCAGCGCGGCAAGACCAACAGAGTTTTGTATTTTTTTTTCTCTGTATCTAAGATGAGATTTTTCTGTGTTGCACACCTCAGGGTGCTGGGGAACAAGACAGGAGGGAGGAGAAACCCTGTTCTTAGCCTCTCCTCCTCCCGCTTCCCAATGCAGATGGTATTTCTCTCCCAAGGACCTTTTCAAAAGCAAGGTATTATTTAGCTCTGGTTTTGTGGATGGGAAAACAAGGCACATGCATCCCAGGAGCCCCTTGGGAAGCCAGGGAAACTTCTGCAAATCAGGGGTGGAGGCAGAGGAGCATGGTGCTTACGAGTCATAGTCCTGGATGATCTGGCCAACAGCCCATATAGCTGACAAGTATTCGTTTGTCCCCATGGGGTTGATATAGTGCAAAGAGGAGGGGTCTCGTGGGTTCCCATTGGAGGCTGTGAAGTCAATCCCAACCTGGGGGACAAAAGAGAAGCATAGACCCATCCTCTGTTAGCAGACAGCGCCACAGACCTGGCCACCGAGCCTCCACTGCCTTTGAAGTCCACACACAGTCCCATCAAGACCCAAACCTCAAACTTTTGAAAAGGTTTAACAAAATCCAGTTCTTCACTTTTCCTAAAAAAAAAAAATAAATATTACCAAATACTAGGTTAGCAAAGCCATTCACAATTACACCTACGTTTTTCACCAGCAAGCATCACATAAGGTGTCCTGAAGCAGCCCCTGCTCCTGGAGCAAGCCATCACCATCTCCAGCTCAGGAGTCTGGCTGCCCATCTCCTAGGTGTAAAGGTCAGGAACGGAGTAACACCACAGGCATCAAAGCAGCCAAGGCCACCTGGCCATTTGAGTCTCAAGGTCTTTGACCAAAGAGTCACAGCCTGGAGCAGATCTCTCCCTGCAGCCACTCTTCACAGGCTTCCCTAGGGACCAATATGTGCTGAGCTCTCAGGGGCACTTTGTCAGCAAGGCGCTCATTTTTCTCCCTCCTCAATTAGGCTATTTAGAAATCTTCTATTTAAAGACATTTGTAGAAATGCTGACCTCAGACCCAGTTAAATCTGGTTGGAAGAGGCAAGACGCTGAGCCACCCGCTTTGAAATGACTGGGAAGGAAGAGCTGGGGAGGGGCGAGCAGGCAGTGTGGCTGCACTCACCTTGTTTGCTCTGCAAACAGGCAAAGCCCAAAATAACTCCCTGGCTAAATTGAGCCCAAGGGATCCGTGAGGGATTTTGCTCCATGTCTGTAACGGAAGAGGATGAACTGCCATTTGGCTGGGAAGGGACCCTGGCCTAGCTGGGGCAATAAGATGTCACAGCCCAGGAGAGGCCACAACCTTCTGCCAGAGTAGGTGGTGAAACAGGCTCGACAGGACAAGGGGATGTGGTTTTAAACTGGAAGAAGGTCTGTTTAGACTGGAGAAATGTTGTACAGTGAGGGTGGTAGAACAGTAGAAGAGGTTGGCCAGAGAAGTTGTGGATGCCACATCACCAGGAATGTTTGAGGCCTGGTTGGTCAGAGCTTTGAGCAGCCTGGTCTAGTGGAATCTGTCCTTGCCCATGGCAGGGGTGTTGGATTAATGGTCTTCAAAGGCCCCTTCCAATCCAACCATCTTATGGTTCCATCAAAACCTAGCTCCTTCATCAAGCAACCTTACAGCCTTACCAGCCTGCGGTTCCCTGCTGTAACACTCACACCCATGTGCCCAGCTCCTGTCAAGCCACCATGGGCACAGTCAGAGAGCGAGAGGCAAACTGAGGCACAGGGAGGGTGCTCAGTGCAGTCAGACAGGTGCATGCCCCTCTCATGCAAGCAATGTCACCAAGAGCAGCACTTGGGCAACAGACTTCAGAGGGATGCAGCTGGTCCACCTCCCACAGGAGGCGAGTGCCAGGCCACAGTGTCCCTCTTCTCTGCAGCTTCAGCCCGTCTCTCCCCACCACCACGCTCGGCAGGGAGGACACCAGTGGCCTTTCCAAATCTCGTGCGTTTGTGTGTGTGGTAGTGTCCTCTGAGCTCAGGCATTTCTGCAGCTCTACAGTCACCACAAACCCAGCCAGGTCTTTGAACCAAAGATGCCTTGGGAGGGGGAGAGACCCTCCAACAACCAGCAGATCTTCAGATGGGTGGGGGATAGATTTCTGTATTCAAGCCTAATTCACACAAGACCTCCACACTACCAATAAACTTAACGTTTTTCTCTTGTTTTCACTCTCCAGCACCAAGACCTTCACACGCAGCAGCAGAACAGTGCACAAAAAGCTCTCTCAGTCGCACCTGTTCCTATGGCAACTCTTTCTCCTCCTCCTACTCTCCCCCCATCATGTTTTCAGCCGAAACAACAAAATACAAATGGAAATCCTGCAAGTGCCTGCAGCTCTCCAGACACTGCACTAGAAAAGTTTGCAGAAATTGAAAACCCCACTTCTGCATTGTGGCATTTTCACTCAGGGTTGTAATGTCCTCATTTAGTTACTCCTGATGAGCTGTGGTCCAGCCTGAAAGAAGGTGGAAATGCCAACAAAAAAGCAGAAATACATCTCATTAAGAGCCCAAAGTGTGTCAGCTGGTTTCAAAACAAGGAGAGCTTCCATGAAAAAATGGAGAGTGGTTAAACTCTCTGATGGGGACAGAAAGCATTAACATTTTGTGAAGGGCAGAAGGTCTTTGTGGGAGCCTGATCTTCAGAGTCTAGCCAGGTCCCTCCATGCTACTGGAGGCACCAGAGCATCACAGTAACAAACCCCCCAAGACCTCAAAACCATATCAGGCAAAACGAGGCAGCTCCTCACTGCCATGAAAAGCCACCCAAGCTGGTGCCAAATCTCACGCAGAACCTCCTTCTCTAGTTTTGGCCATTACATGAGTGTTACTACCACTAGGCAAAGAGAAGCAAAAGTCCTTACGGTAAACATCAGCTGGCAGCCTCCCAGGATGTAGTCCAGGAAAGAGAAATCTCTGGTTATCTGAAAGAAAAAAAAGAAAAAAAAAAAGCGTTTCCACAATCTTTGCCATTGCAGAACAAGAGAAAATAAATACGTGGAAAGTGCCTGAGCCTGAGGTCACTCAGGTCTGGGCCTTCAGGGACCTTCAGCTGTGTGGCAAAGCAATGGGAAGAACCACCTGGGTCTCCCACAGCAGCGTTTTGACACTTCACGATTCACATGGGGCCAAGCAGGGCTCCATGTTGGTTCAAAGCTGGGGTGGGAAGCCTGGACAGGATCCCTGAGAGCTGGAAGTGTCCATCACAGTGAATTGAATGGCAGATCCTCTCCCCATGGCTGAAATGGTCTCGTACCACCTGCAGATCCGGTGAGGGAAGAACTGCATTGGTGTTTTCCCCACTGTACTGCTGCCATACAAAGGGAGGACTTCACCAACACCTCATCTCAGAAGAAAGACCTCTCCCACTTGTGCGCAACCCTTGTCTCCCAGAAGACACCAAGCAGTTGGTAAGCACCCACACCTTGGGCTTCATGAAGACACTGCCCATGCTGAATACCTCCTCCTGTGTCTGTGGGCACCTAGGTGCTCCAAGTGGAGAGAAACCCAAGCAGCAAGGAAATGACACTTTTATTCTCCTCAGGACCTGTGCTTGGAAACACAAGGGTGCTGGAGGCAGCAGGGGTGAGGGGAGCTCAGGAAGAAACAGAAGGGAAGATCCCGGCATCGTACTCACTTTACAGGACTTGACAATGATGATCCCAGAGTTCTTATAATTCTTTTTCTTCTTCTGCTTTTTGGGGTTAATGCACTCAAGCTCGAGCTGCAAGACATGAGACAGACATGGGGTGAGAGCAGCGCTGGGATCTGTCAGGAGGCTGCAGGTGCCACCAGCAGCCACATCCTGCAGGCATCCTTCCTCCACAGGTTTCAAAGTGCTGAAGAGACACAAATGAATCCCAGTGAGCTATGGAGATTTAATGATGGACATGAAGGCACAGGATCTGCTTGGGAAGGGGCTGCTTCTCCTTTGCAGGGGCTTTCACCATGCCCATGACGAGGCGTGTGGCGGCCGAGCAACCACACAATGTGACATGTAGACCCCAGCAAGGCTATGGGGGCTCTATGGGATGGGTCAAACACATGGCAGGCATGCCACCACCTCTCCTCAAGAGCTCTGGAAAAACAAAATGTCTCTTGAATATTCAGAAAATTGCTACAATATTTCAATTTTTTAAAAAATCTAAAATTGAATAAAAACTCTTGTCAAGGAAGAAAGATTACACATGGGTTTGTCTGGGGAAGAGGGGACCACAGAGAGAAGTCCTGTTCTTCCAGCTGCAGAAAAATGGGAAAATTTTAAAGACTAAAATGGTTGTTTCCTGAAGGTGAACGTTTCGTTTCACCAACTGAACAAAATCAAAAAACAGATCTATTGACAAAATCCCCTTAACTTGGAATAAACCCAGGCAGATGGTCCAGCCCAGACCCACTAGTGAGTACCTCCCACACAGAACCACATGAGAGAGGGGTGGCAGATCCGTGCCCTCTCCCCACCACCCTGCTCAGACCAGTCTGGTGATGACCCTGAGTGTCCAGTGGTTTTATAATCCTAGTGATGATGGCAGTGAAAAGCCCTGCTTATCCAGGAGTCCTCGTCACACGCTTTCAACCAGGTGGGATTTGCCAAGGACTTTGGCCAGCACTCTGGGCGGCAAATGGGGACACCTTTGGCCACCAAACCAGTGTGGAGCTGCATGAGAGCTGGCACTCCTGCGGACCAGGCTCCTGCGCCTGCAAACGCAGAGCCAGCAGCATGCGACACCTCCCCATCAGACCTCCCAAACCACAGGGCACCTCCTAAATCACAGGTGCTGCTTCCGACTTCTCAGCAGAGTCCCATCTTCAGCCAAGACTCCCTTGGCCCTCTAGCTCAGATGCTTTAGCTGCAACAGTGGCCTGGGTCACTCATGGTGTGGGTAGGAGGAGAAAGGAGGTTGGACTTGGCTTCTTCTTGGCACAGGTTGAGGGTCTCGGTGCAAGTACCAAAATCCACCACCAGTCCCGAGGAGCCCCTTCAATGTTCCTTCCCAAAAGCACATTGGCACTTACTGGAAAGGCATCTTGGGCTTCACACATCCTGGCCACCGAGGTCTGAAACTCCCCGATGAAGTCATGTCCCCCATCACTGTCATAGTCATAACATATCACCTAGGATGGAGGGAGCACAAATCAGCCTCAGATGCAGCAACTATCTCCTGCAAAAACTCCCAAGCTCTCCTGTTGGAGATCCCAAACAAGGGTATTTTTTTGGTTTGGGGGTGGCTGTGCTTTGGTTGTTTTTTTGTAATACACCAGGCAGAGTGTATTACAAATATCCAGGGTTTGGATATTTAATGATCAGTCCCAGAGGCAAATCACCACCATACAAGCTGAAGGGCTCCCCTGTTACCTTTATCATCTTTTCCACATCTCCATCACACAGTGACACCAAAGGCACAGTGAACGGCTTCCAGACAGGGTCCAGCGTGTACTTGATCACCTGTGGAGTGACAACACAGGGATTTTGTCACACATGCAGAGGGAGACTGGCACAAAGCAGGGAGACATCTCCAAGGCTGACCCTGGAGCAGGTTCGCAGTGGGGCAGGCCAGGCAAGCTGCAGGAAGCCCCATCTCAGTCCTCTTCTTCCTCCTCAACGTAGACACAGCAGCTTCCCCTTCTCAGGCTGTAGCATGTGTGAGTTGCAACAGATTGGCTGGCACTACTGTGGACCATTTATCCACCTCTGGTGACAAACTAACTTGCTTGGGAAAACAGCTGTGGCAGACTGGGCAGCATAGGTGCAACCATGCCCAGAGCATGGGCACAACCACTCACCCCACCAGTTCGAGGCCAGCAGCTATTACTTATATTTGCTGCATCCCATACTCGTGGCTAACTCCTCTGCAGCACCCCAGCACAGCCTACACCTGTCTGGGGTCTGACCACTGAGAAGATGGAGCAGTGGGATGCTGCAAGCGGACGGGAAAGCCAAACAGCCCTGGGGACATCCAGCTCTCTGTGCTCATCTGCATAACATCTGCTGCCTGAGCTGGAGAAATAATTGATGCTTTTTGACATTTCTTAAGAGAATGCAGTTGCGTGGTGGAAACCAAAGCAAACACTAGCAGGCTCCTGGCACATGCTGTGTACATCGGAGATGCCTGCAGGGCAGGTGAAGACCCTCCTTCACAAAAGTGTTGTGCTCATAAAGAGAGGGGCATGTGAATCTTAGAAAAGTCAGACACAGGCAGTCCATTAACCCTTCTCTGTTCAAGTCAAACATGGGGGACACCTGGGATGGAGGACCCTGGAGCTCTGCAGTGGAGCTGGAACAGCACAGCCCAGTGAGGAGCCCAGTTCGGCTGCTGCTGCAGGTGAACAGCCGTGCAGGACCTGCCAGGGCTGTCTTGTTTTACAGGCAGGCTCTTGTGTGAGACTGGGGAAAACCCTGACACTGCAAGCACAGTTTAGTCAAGAATTTGTAAACACCTCCTCCAGGAGGCTGGGAAGAGCAAGGAGAACCCATGCGCCCTGAGCTGGTGCCCGCAGACTGCCAGCCACCGGGTCCCCAGGGTGGGTGGGGAAGGATCCGGTGCCTCAGCTGGGTGTTCACACTTCCACTTGAACAACAGGCTGCAATGAGCACACTGATCCTGCCCTGCCAGACACCTCCACAGTGGCACAAGGAATGCCACCATCAGGCTCAGAGCCGTGTACATCCCTGCACCGAGAGCTGCAAGCGTGATTAATAAGAACCTTATTTCTTTGTGTCCAGCCCCAAAACACAAAGATGCTCACCTGGCATAGGATTCCTCTGAGGGCAACCGGTTATATTTTGGATTGAGAAGGAAGAGGCTGTTGGAGCACCCATCACTTGAAAGAAAACCTGGATAGACCCTTATGCAGTAAGACAGGACAGTGCAGGAACCAGGCAGCAACCCAGAGGAAAAAAACAGTATCTGTGTCTGCTCCCACTGACCCGACCTGCTTACAGAGCCCCCAGCTCTCAATTCCTCTGCCTCTTCAAGGAGGCAGGGCTGGGGGTCACTCAAAACCCCCACATCTGAGAAACAGATCTCGGTGAGTACCCTAAGTCTCAGAACCCCCATGCCTGAGAAATACGTCTTGCCCAGCTACCCACGCTAACCCAGGAGGAAACAAAGAAGGTCCCAGCCTGCTCCTACAGAAATGTGAGAGAAATATTAAGGTTGGTATGAATAAGATCTGCATGGAAACGTGTGGGAAAGCACCAACCAATTAACAGCAGAGCTGGGGTTGAAAGGACAGCCTCTAGCAGTATCACAGGACATGTGGTGGTACCCACACCCTGGTGCTCGTGTGCACGTGGGTGCGCGAGTGGAGGAAATCCTGGTGGACTTTGCACAGCCATGGGAAAAAACAAGGTACAGCGAGACCTTGTCAATAAACACCACCCCCTCCTTCCACTGAGTTCATACTAGAGCGGTGTGCTGCGGTGGGACAACGGGCTCTTTAACCAGTCCTTGAGGGGAGAAGAAAGGGAGAGGGGTAAGACAGGGATGGGAAACAGACGGGTGTGAGCTGAAACATGAGAGAACCCGCTTCCTCCGACTGTGAGGCTGCTGGGAGCCCCTCCTGCAGCAACTGCCCCTTCCTCTTTCTGCTAGCTGCCAGGAACTATGCGGGAAAGGAAAAAAAAAAAAAAGCCTTCAAACAAGCTTTGAGGAGGAGACAAAAACCTGCTTAAAAGTCCTTATCAGCCTGGTGCTAAAGCAGAAGACAGCCCCCTTCTCCCTGACCGTGCTGGGCGTCTTACCCATAATATCATTGGCTTCAGCAGCTCCAGAGAGTAACCAGAAAGGAGCTCAGATCAAAATATTGCAGCAGCTAGAAATGAGGGGCCGGGAGGGTTCGGCTGCCTCTGACCATACCCACTGGGACCCCAGTACAGGTCTTTGCCTCCTCAGCTGAGGATCTGGCTCCATTAAACATGAGCCCAAGTGCTCATGCTCTGAAGCCAGAGATGTCTGAGCATCCTCACAGGTTACTTGAGGATCTGACAGAAGGTCATTTTAACCTTTCCACACAACCGTTCCCTGGGCCACCTCTCACCACCTCTCTCCACTGTCTCCCCAGCTTGCAGCAGCTCTTCCTGCTGCTCCTGCAAGCGGAGGGAGAGGCTGAGCTAGGAGTTTAATAGGGGTTAGAAGACCACCTGCCTCTCTGCTTGGCAGACACAGTAGTGAGTAGTACAGAAAACATCTCAAGACCTGCTGGCCTCTGTTAATCTTCATCTGCTAGAGTCCAGAAGCCTCAACTGGACATCGTGAAGGCAGTTGTAAGCTTTTGAAATCGCTGGATCCCACCCTGCTTTACGGGTGATTGATGAGATAATGCCACAAAGAGCAAGAGGAACTGACATAAGGATGGTAGCACCTTGGGTTAGAGCTGCACTCACCTCTGTTCTGTGGACCATCATCCACTTCCCATCATCACCTGGTTTGTAGAACTCCAAGAAAGGGTCTGACTTTCCAAACAGGTCCTGGGGCAGAAGAACAGGACAGGTTACACGATGCTCTGCAGGCAGAGACAGCTGGTCCAAGGGAGGTGTCCTTTCCCCAGCACTTCCAACCCTGCAGACACCCTCCTGTCCTCACGAGACCGGCTTGAGCACACTGGCAGACAGGCAGCACCCACGGGCAGCACCCCGGCACCCCTCTGTGTCCCTGTGACCGTGTCCCGTGGCCCCGCCACCGGGCACCCACCGTTCCGCGAGCTCTCGGGGTGCAGATGCCACAGCAAGCAAGCCCAGCCGGGGGACAGCTGCATTTGGGCTTGGACAAACATTCGAAGCTTCAGAGGAAAGCAGAATTATGGAGTGCATGAGTGTCTTGAGGGAAAAAGGAAGAAAGATCCCACGCTCCTGCAGGCAGCAGTAAAGCATGAGCAGAGTAAATCTTTCTCGAGCATGCTGCCCTGGTGTTGACAGAGCTCATGTAACACCCTCTGAGACATGCAGCCCTGAGACAGCGTGCGCTGCCTGTCCTGAAGCTCTCCTCAGGCAGTTCCCCAGCAAAGGGCTGCTGGTTTAGGAAAAATATTCACACACACACACACGGTGCTGGGTATCAGCAGTGAGGCTACTTCAGGGCACCCACAGCCTGGAGAAGCGGGTGGTGCTGGTGGCACCCTCCAGCATTTCGAAGCAGAACTGCACTCCTGTTCAGAAAAACTAAGAAGTGACTAACAAGAAATTAAGCCCAAAATATTCCAAATGTTCTACTAAGAACTCAAGCCATTTCAGCTGGGTTTTTCTCCCAGCAGGAGGTGGGTGCCTGAGTCCTGCAAAGAGTTGGAGGAACTTCTTATGGGTTTCAACAGGAGCTTTTTGTGTTTCCAAGTGATGTGGTGGGGATGCAGGTGGCTGCTTGCTCACAGAGGAGGAGGAAGCATGGACACCCCAGCACAGGGGGTGGTGGCTGGGACAGACACAGGCTCTAGTGATGCCCCAGCAGAAAACTGTTTCCAAAGTCAGCCAGGAAAGTAAATCACTACATAACTTGCTTCCCTCAAAATTCTTCTGCCAGAAGAGCAGACCAGAAAGGCTTCCTGGGATGCTCTCTGCTGAGATGAGGCTATTTTTCTCCTACCCTTTTCCACATGTTTGTAGGAAGGAAAAGCAAGCTATTCTGTCTGGAGGGCTACAGTTATGACACAGCTTGGATCCTGCTCCCTCACAGCCTCGGCTTGGCACTTTCAAGTATCACTGACAGATTAAAGAACCAGTGGTGGGTACCTGACCCTGTCTATGCTGGCTTAACCTGCAAGTCAACCTGGCTTCACCAGTGCCAACCCAGTTGGGTTGGTGGAGGCACCAGCACAGATGACAGCAGGGAGCTCTGAAGGATGTCTGCTGCCATCCCACACGGAGCAGCCTGGTTTTCAAGTCTGGTCAGTCTTGCTCCATTCAAAGCAAAGTGGGAGATGCCTCCAAGCCACGGGATTGTGGGCTGCTATTTTAAAACGTCAAAGCCACAAACATTTCACCCCTGCAAGCCTGGCAGGAGATGGAACTGAGCTACCAAAGGAGTTCGGCAGACCAGACTGATCTGCAAACTGGTCCAAGAATCTAAATCATGCACACTGGCCCTTGTACACCATGGATAAGGAGGGCGGCGGTGGCAGTTCCACCAGATGAAGCTCCCAAAACCACAGCTTCCAGCACCAATCTTGCCTTGTAGCACTTGTTCTCCCTGAGCTGTGCTGAAGTATCCCTGCTCTCCTGCTACACCCACAGCTGCGGTAGCACACACAGCTCTGGGGCCAAGTTCACCAGAGTTGGTTCCTTGTTCTGCAACATCTTTTTTTCTTGAAGCAACCCGCCCAAGAACTGATTTGACATAAAGTACAAGAGCCTCAGGCTGGTTCTGCTGCTGACGTGCTCCCGCCATGCAGCTTCAGCACTTAAAGCAACATAGTGGGCCACATGTGGAGAAACCATGGGCATAAGGTGGGGAGCTGGACCTATTGACAGCCTGAGAGAGGTCCCAGCCTCAGGGTGGTCACGATAGAAGGTGCTGCCTGGGGCCAAGCACAGCTCCAGGCTGGGTTTGCAGCACAGTAAGGGATACTTGCAGCTTCATCTTGACATGTGCAGCAAGCTGACACCATAGCCCCATCATGAAACCCTGTGAGATCTGATCACTTCCCATTATGTCCAAGCCTCCAGTGGTGCTCCTCAGCTACGTGTTGTGTCATGCAGGACGGTGCTACCCTCCAGGCTGCAGCCTCACCCCTGCTGTTTTTTTGCTTGGCCACTTGTCTGCTGTCTTTTCTGAGCTTAAATGAGTTTCACCCAGCTCCCACAGCTGCTGCATTTCATCCACAACCGATAATGACCCAAAAATATTGTATTTCATCCAATTTCCTTGTTCAGAGACCACTTTAATTTGCATGAAGTGACATGAACATCTTTTGCCTATAAGCAGGACTTTGAGCATGGCAACACTGCACTGTTATGGGAATCAGCAAAGGAACCTCATCAGCTCTTGCTGGCAGCAGGCAGTTACCAAGGAAGGAGCTTTCTGCTGACACATATTGATAAATTGGAGGGAGACTCAGAAATAGGATTATTCACAGTTCTTATCCCAGTCTAACCAGCTAGGTGCTGTGTGGAATCGTGACTTGCAGAGCAGGATGACATGATTTTGCTGAGCATGAACAATCAGTGCAGACAGTGAGATTCTCATAGGCCTGAGAAAGTCCGTGAAACGACCTTGAATAAGGAAAGAAGTAAACAAGAAGATAAGGGGGCTCCCTTGGCGGCTCGCCCGGACAAGAATGTAAACACTGGCAGAGCTGAGGACAACAATTCTAAAGGCTGACAGGGCACGTGGACAGAGCATGGACAGTGATTATTACCCAATCTGTAGCTCAGCTTAGGTGTGTGAACAGGCTTGTTAACCTATGGGGTTGAGGGGGCTGTCTCTTGTCTACTATAAAAGACTGTAATACTTTGCAATAAACAGATTTGACTGCAGACCCCTTGGAGTATGCATCTTTTCTCCAGAGCTCCTTCCCGACAGTGCTGAATTTCCATACCTTGACTGGGAGTCTGAAAGGCAGCAGATCTACAGGTACCATACCCTAGTTGAAGAATGTGACAAAAGATGTCACCTTTGCACAACCTGGTAGAGGAACCTGGTTGCAAACCAGATCAGAAAGGCAACTCCTACCCGTGGAGCAAGTGACGACACCAATGAGGTTAAAAATACAAGAAGTGGACATATGCCTGAAGTACAAGAGCTGCAGGGAGGGCCCAGGCCCTTGGCCCTGCTCTTCACAATGGCCACAGCTGCAAAGGGACCCTGAAGCACAAAGGAGGGGCACCAAGCCTGCTGAGAAATCCCACCCCTTGCTTTGCATGGGAGCAGAGGCTTTTTCCTGGAGTGCTAGAAGAAAACTGTTGCATTAGGGACGTCTTCACTGACGTGCATGGGGCTGACCCTCGGCTACATCTCAGAGGACAACTCCAGGAAACCTTCCAGCCCATTTATGAAATAGAGTTATTTGGGGATTTCTTCACAGGCATTTGGCTCCTCACACTAGGCAGGGCAAGAAAACAACCGTTCCCAACAGGTGAGAAAAACACTTGTATAAACCAAGTGTTTATCCAAATAAACTGGACAAGGGGACTGGACAAACCACATCTTCTGCCCCAGCCAATACCCTTCTGCCTGGATGCTTGCTTTACCCTGTTTGAAAGCTGAGGGCCACCCTACCAATAATGCCAGCTCCAGAGAGACTAGGAAGAAAGAAAAAACAATATTCTCATCAATTGCTTAGCAACAGCACTGGTTTAAGAGGAACAGCTCTGGGTGCCTGGTAAATACGGTCAGATGGCTTTGTTCAGAATGGTTCATGGTTTCCTCCGTGTCATAGCCACAGCAAAACCCATGCACTGCCTGCCTCCATGACGTCAGCACTCCTTCCTTGGAAAAGACAAGCCCTGCTGTTTGATACACAAGGAGATGTTCGCTCCATTCCCAGAGGAGCTGAAGGCGACAAGTCAGGAGCTCTCGGCACTTCTGAGATATGGGCTGAAGTTGTTTCCAAAAAACAGCTACTGAGGTGGTAGATCTGCTGTCTTTAAGCCATGCTAGTACACAGGTCCTGTGCCACACATAATAATAGCTCCATCACAACGTCTGCGATGAAGAAAGCAATAAAAGAGGGAAACTGAGGCACAGGCATACCCAGCAGCCAGTGGCACCGTCAGGACTTGAACCCCTCTGGTCTCACCCTAGTGCTTCCTCTGGTAGGCCTAGTTACTGTCACTGCTATATCCAAAAGCAGAGATTTCTTTAGATGGGGACAACTTTTATAGCAGGGCCTGTTGTGACAGGACAAGGGGGGGATGGTTTGAAACTGAAAGAGGGAAATTTAAACTAGATAGAAGGAAGAAATTTTTGGCACTGAGGGTGGTGAGCCCCTGGCCTAGGTTGCCCAGAGAGGTGGTGGATGCCCCATCCCTGGAACCATTCCAGGTGAGGTTGGCCAGGGCTCTGAGTAACCCACTCTAGCTGCAGATGTCCCTGCTCCCTGCAGGGGGGTTGGACTGGATGGCCTGTAAAGGGCCCTTCTAACCCAAATCATTCTATGATTCTGTGATCCCTTAGATTATGAAGGACAGAAATTTAGCCTTGCACCCTTCAGACACAACTCCACTCACCTTTTTATCCAGTTTTTTGCCGGCCATACTCAGTGTAATCACCCTGTTATCCGAGAGCTCTTGAGCAGCTATCTGAAAGACAAGGGAAGGCTGCATTCATTTTCAGCATGAAAAGAAAGTGAACTCCAAGCCAGAGGAGAATCCAGACCCTGAGGACACGTGTTCTGAAGATACTTGCAAAACTTCTGCACAACTCATTGCCCAGCTAAGTGGTTGGATGATCTCGGCACACAGTATTTCACTCTTAAGGAATTAAACTGATTCTACCTTTCCAGATCGATCTGGGATCAAAACCTACTTTCCAGCTTCTCCCTGGAATGAAGAAGGATGGAGAAAAAGCCCAAACTTCCCTTGGATGGGCATTGCCAATTACTATGCACCAAGGCAGTGACGCACCAGAGTTAAAACAAAACAGGATACATATTTTTTTAACAGGCTACCAAAACAAAACAAAACTCCACATTTGTTCACTTCTGTTACCAGCCATTTTCTGAATCACTTGTATTTTTTTCCTCAAGGCTGTGTCCTGCCCAAGCACCTGCTCCCCACCTCTCCCTCCTCCACTCCCCAGGGCAGGCTGAGGTGCCCCCCAGTATCCTCAGCCCCCTCCTCGGGCAGGGGCCAGGAGCACAGGCTGGGCACTCCCCTCGGGCACACTGCTCCCAGGCGTGCCCATTTGCTGGTTCTCCAAGGAGCCTGTCCTTCACTGGAGAGACACAGCATCATTACAGCAAGGCTTTTAGACAAAGCTGCAGAAATCAAGGGGGCAATTTTCAGCAGAACGAGCAATCAGAGGGTTCTTGGCACTTGGGAGAGCCAGGGAGTGGCTCTCCCAAGTGGAGATGCATGAGGAGGTGGAGATGCAGCAATTGAATCTGCCCGGGTAGCTGGGTGAGGGGATTAGCTGTTGCTCCTGCACAGCCTCCTAGACTCTCTGTGGCAGAAACAACTCTTTAGTCCACAGAGGATCCATTCACCACATGCAAACCCCAGTTTTCCCCTCTTCTGCATACAGATGTGAAGTGAGAAGTTGCCTACTTAAAAACATGGCTTCAGTTCTCTCTCCCACCTAGTCCTTGGTGGGCACTTATGGTCACCACGACTGCGTGAGGAAGAGAAGCTGTAGCAAATTGGATGAAATTTGTCCATTGCTGATCACCACAAAAGTGCATTCAGGTGGTGTTCAGCATTTTAAGGCTCACTGGAGGCTACGTAAAAGCCAGTGTGTGCAGACAAGCCCGGTACGTCCTTGGGCCACACTGCCACAGGCAGCTGGTGGTATCTTCTCTTGGACAATAACATCCCCGCTGCTGTGTGCAGCAGAGACGTGTGGCAAGATCTTGGGATTGACTTCTACACACACAGTGGTTTGCTTTGGGATTTTCCCCATCTCTTCAAAGCTGTGGACCCCCACCTGATCCCGTCCATCCAGCCAGGCTTCTGTTGAGCAACCTAGTCTAGTGAGAGGTGTCCCTGTCCATGGCACAGATGTTTGAACTAGATGACCTTTAAGGTCCCTTCTAACCAAATCCATTCTATGGGTCACATTTCAGTTAAGAAAAAGGATGCTTGGGCAAAATAGAAGGGGATGGAGTAAGGAAGGTAGGGTTTGGCTCCAAACTCCATGTTCTATATGAGTCCAAAGCAGAAGCCTGCCTCTTGGCTGGTGTTCAGAGCCTAAGATCCAGCACCACCTCAAGCAGTGAGAAAAGAAGCCCACCACACATGACCCTGTTGTCATCACCAAGCCAGGGCAAAAAGCAACAGATCAGAAAATTGCATCAATAGTACAAAACGAAGCAGATGTCTCAGATCCTTTGATTGTTTTGACACATTAGAGACAAATTGGGACCTTCCTGGTTTTTTAAAGCATATAACCTTTGAACTTGACTGGAAACTTTTCCTCTGGTCCAGCTCTTCCCACTCAAGCATGGGACAGGGTGATCAGAGCCCACTCCTCAGGGATGACATATGGCGTCATGCACTGCTTGAAGACTTCACTGTGGCTTTTCCTTCTGAATTTGAAGACTTAACTGCAGCAATGATGAGAGAAAAGCTGGCTCCATCTTTCCAGCCTCTAGAGCAAAAAGCAATGAAGATGCCCTTCCAGCAGTTAAGTCCTAGACTTTTAAACTGCTTTTAAACCCTTCCAGTGCTTTTAATCCTGACAGAGCTTTAACTCCTTGTTGGCCTTTTCTTCCACACCTTTGCTGCCTATCTGCGTATCTCACAAAACACGGAACACAGAAGAGATCCAAAAAAGACTGGAGGTGTGGTAGGAGGGAAATGGACCTAAATTTAGTCTCTTCTTTAAATCCATCACTAAAGAGATCCACAGCAGGAAGGCTGCTGCCCGAAGGGGTCTGCATCAGGAGCAGCCACCGTTGCTATGAGAGTTGTTGCTACGACACAGCTCCCATCCTCTTCCTATAAACAAACCCACCCGTCGCTGGCAGAGGCACCAGCCCTCTCACCTCCTGCTGCTGCAGAGAGGGCTGAGCAGGCCTGTTGGACCAGATAACAGACAACAGCAGCAGAGCTTTACTTTATACTGCTCCAGATTGAGGTTTTTTCTTATTTCAGAGACCAAAGCAGAGGTTGAAGACTCACGCTGCTGGACACGAGGCAGACACAGGGCAAGATGGCCCCTGCCCCACATAAATTGTCCTCCAAAGAGACAGAAGTGGGCACAAAAACGAGAGGCAAAGGGAAGAACAGTCATGATTAAATCCCAGTTTCCTGGACCCCAGGAGAGTGTCCTACATCTTCCCCAGGTTACTATCCCCCTTTACTCACTCAGTAAGTAACACAAAGGAGTAACTGTACCGTTATCATCCCTTTCCCAGCTGGCTTGCCATTCCCCAAAAGGAGGGTCCTTGTTATTTTCTTGCTGGAAACGATCTAGAGAAGCCAAAGAAAAATCAAGTCATGATCATACAAGTGATCAAAAGCAGACTCACGAGCAACTGATCATTGCTCACGTTGGTTAACTTAGATGAAGCATTCACAAAAGTCAAACAAAGATGCAACACTCATGGATGACTGTGATATTGTGAACCTCACCACCACCACCACCCGAGCCCACGGGGTGCCAGGCAGCAGCTGAACAGCGCAGAGTAGTGAGGGCACAAGGGGCTGAAGCATCACCTCCCACTGAACCCAGAGACAAGTTCTTGGTGTGGAGCACATCAATGGAACCTCACACGGACAAAGGCTTCCCAGCAAAACCACAACTCAACCTTTCAAATCCCATTTTAAATACTTCTAACACGACCCCTGCCAGCAACTTGCTTTCAGGCCACGTTTTCATGGACAAAGCCCAGATGTTCTCCCCCAGCATTGTTCTGGACCCCCTGCACAGCTGCTGCTGAGCAAGGCACAGGGGTCAGCACCCCCCAAAGGTATGTCCTCCCCTTCACTTCTGGCTTTAAGAGGCCACACAGGATGATGTGAGAACTGATTTTAACCCCTTGAGATTATTCCCAGGTTACCAAGTGTCAGACACCTTCAGACCTGGGGATCCCATAAAGTTCTCATGAGGCGCACACCCCACCATGGGGATGCAGCAACCTGCTGGAACTATCTGTGCTCCACTCCCACACCTAGTGGCGGCCCCTTTGACATCTAGGGGTTGCAATTTTAAAAGTGCAGTCCCATCCATCCTTCTGCCTGCACCCTTGGTCCTACATCACATAGCCAGAAAACGAATTTAAAAACCCCATGTAATTATACGGCTTAACTTGTTCCTCTTGCTGTCCAGGTGACCTCACCATGCTTACATTCCTCCCATTGCTCCCTCAAAATGTTCCCTTCCCTCTTCTTGCAACTTCAAGGCAAAATCCCTTTCCCATCATGGTTAGCCAGCCATGTCCTAGAGTTCTTGATTCTGTAAAAGCAGTCAGGAAGCACCAGCCAGAGTAACTAGATGTTTGTGCCACGCTGTGCATAGAGAGGTGAAATCTCACAGCCCTGGTTAGCAGAAATCACGGACAGCTTCCAGCCTGCAATTTGATCCTGGTTACATTTGTTTTGGCCACAGAGGCCATCACAGGCCTGCAAATGATCGAACCATCCTTTTAAATCTTACCAGAGACCTAATTACCTGCAATAAAACAATCTGGCTCATCTGACTGAGCTTCGATGTAAGCTCAGAACTGAGAAGTCTGATGCTTGCTGCACGGTGGTTGCTGCCCACGGCTGTTCTTCCTTTCTTAGAGCTGATCACACCTGAAAACTGGGCAGGCTTATGAAACTCGGACAAAATCCAGCCATCAGAAAACTCAGAAGGGTGGCTGAACCCACCAGCCCCTGTACACCCTATTTCACCCCTTTCCTCACCAGGCACCCTTGTACACATGCTACCACCCCGGTACACTTCTCCCCCATGAGCAGGCTGTGCTGCAAGCCCGTGGTGGCCACAGGGAGAGGAGACTAACAGAAAATTTCAGGAAAAAAAGGGAAAATTAGAAGATCCCTCCAATACAAGCTGGTGTCTCATTGTGGATCACCAAGAAGCTTGCCTAGGAACCATTGCAAAAGTTCATCAAAAACCGGCCACATATATAAGCCAAGTTCTCTTTTGCAGAGTGTAAATACTTGCATGCCATTACAGAAGTTTAGGGCTCTCTTTTTCTGATGGTCTAAGTCCACCAGCTGTACCTAAAGACACAGTAAGACAGTTAGCCAAGCCATCAGCTGTTCTGAGCCAACCTTGGATCTGAGACCTGCCAACAGCAGCCCATCCTCACCATTACCACAGTCCCAGGGTGGTCTGTCCAGTCCCATGCTCTGAGCTAATCACTTTTCAAAGCACCAGAAAGGGTTGGGCTCCTCTGGGAGATGTAAAAAGCAGGAGGAGATGGGTCAGACTCCCACCTTCTTTCCCAGCAGATATAGATAACATTCCTTTCCAGCATGAGCCTGTAGAGCCCTGGAATTCTGCAAAGCCACATTTAGAAACAGAGCAAGGTTTCAGCTCTGTTTCCTCATGTCCATAAATTCCCTGCTCACAGCTTTCACCAAGATTGTGACATTGACAAGGAGCATTGCTGAACTGTCCCACACCAGAGATGGCTGCACTTCAGCAACAGGAGAACTGACAGTAAAGGATGGGTTTGGTCTAAATCACTAAACTGAGGTCACTCAGCCCGCCCATGCCATGGGCAGTGCCATACTGATGTCTGTGTGACAAGGCAACCGCATTCCCAGGCCTCCTTGAACACCTTGGCCTGGCTGTCCACACTGGTCCATCTATCACAGTGTCTGCTTCCTCCTGCTTCCCAGCACCAAGCCCAACAGAGCTGGTTTCTCCCAGCCCCTGCACTTGTGCCAGGTACCACAGCAGCTCCAGGCTGTCGGATGCTGCAAAAGAATGGAACAAAAAATTGCCCTCATTCCCTGCCTCTGAGTCAGAGAAAGCTCAGAGGACAAAGATGCTTGGAGAACGTTGCCACCAACTACTAACAGGGTCTGGGCTCATGAATGCAAAGACCTTCCAAAGTCTTATAAATCACATTGTGTCCTGAAAGCTTTTCCACAGGAAGAGCAGAAGACACATTCCTGCACCAAGGCACTAACACAGGAAAGATGATTTGCTACACAATGGCAATGGGCAAAGCAGAACTGTGATAGAAAGTTAGACCACAATGCACCCTAACTTTAAACATCTGGAAGTTTCCCAAGTCCAAATCCAAACTGGTCATCAGGGCTCTTACTATAACCTATGGCACCTCCAAAAGCTTCCAGCTGATTGTCTCTCTGCAGGCACCAGTAGAAGCCAACGGCAGGACTAGCTTAGACTTGGGCAAGTAGCCCACAGCCCTGACATGGAACAGTTCAACCTCAGCATCTGGAGCATGACAAATTTGTTTTGCCAGGAAGGACACAGCAAACTTTCCAGTAGATGAGTAGCAGCTCTAATCCCACCATGTCCCTGTGGCTGATGGGACCTGGGGACCCTTTGCTGGAGGACAGCGAGCTGCAGAGACCGCAAAGACTCACCATGCCCAGCGTGCAGGAGAATTCACCCAGGAAGTCATGCTCATACAGCTGTGTGCTTGACTTGTCCTGGTCAAAGAGGGCAAACTTGAGCTTCTGCACTTCTTCAAAGCGGTAGTCGATGATGAATTTCTTGGCGAAAACTGGGTTGAGGTTGTTCACAGCTGTCTCTGTCCTGTCAAGCTGTGAAGACAAAAAAGACGACAGAGACATTTAGGCATGTGAATCTTCCATCTTTGTCACTGTCACGTCCCTCTGACTTCAACCAGAGCTACCCTGCAGTGACCATCCTGCAGCAGGCACACCAAGCATTCAGCAGAGCCATCCCTCAGCACAGGCCATAACACCCAGAGGACACAAGGTATGCTCTATCTAAAGGAGTACTGACACTTCATGCAGAGAGCTGCATCCCCAAGGACGGGGGGCAAGAGCTGTACAAGCCCACCCCAGTCAACAGCGAGGACAGGAGCACCCCCACAGCCAAAGCTCAGCACTCAAGGCTCATTGAAGCCAGAGCCATTTAATTTGCTTCTAAGCCCTGTTGTCACAGGAGCTGAATCTTGCACACACCTCTGACCCTAAAACAGACCCTCACAGCTGTAATGTCAAACTTGTTTCTTTCAGGCTGTGCAGCTAACAGCAAGGACAAGTCAAACAAGAAAAGGTGTCACAAGCCAGAATAGCAACCCTCTAGCATTTCCCTCCAGACCTCAAAACAAAATATTAATGTGGCTTGTTCTTTCTTGGCTTTCCATGGAAAAAAAGAAGAAAAAAAAAATGACCACAGGCCATTTATCATACATTTCATAAAGCATGAGGAGAAACAAGAGGCTGGAAGAACCCAGAAGACAAGACTTCAATAGAGCTTGTCATCCTGATTAGGGTGGAAGAAATGATGTCTCCAACAGCTTGGAATGGCAAGCACACAGAGCTTGGAAACTGGAAGGAAACATGGAAAGTGGAAGGCACGTGGGGAACTCGCTGTCGGAGGGGAAGCCCCACGGCAGTCTGCAGCAGCCCACAGCCCAAAGCAGTGATAAGAGCAGAGGAAACCTGGCAGGCAGCTAGTGGAAGTGTGGGTTTAGGATGTGGGCTGGCACAGGGAGACAGAAAGCCTTGTGTGAGCCAAGAAAAAAAATTCCTGGGGACAGTCACACTGGAGATCCCAGGACAATGCCCTCTGGTTACAAAGCTTTAGTGTCAGACCCCATAAGTCAGAGCATAGGTTCCCTGGTAGCAGAGATTGGCACCCACCCCTCTACAACCTCCTTTCTGGGAGTTTAAAGATTTAGAGTGAGGTCTCCCCTGAGACTCCTTTTCTCCAGGCTGAACAACTCCAGGTCCCTCAGCTGCTCCTCACAAGACTTGTGTTCTAGACCCTTCACCTGCTTCGTTGGCTTTCTTTGGATGCTATTCAGAACCTCTGTGTCTTTGGGGTGCCCAAAACTGAACTCAGTACTCGAGCCATGGCCTCACCAGTGCTGAGTCCAAGATATTGAGATCAGAAGAGGTGGCAGCTTGTTTGGCAAAAGGTCTCCTGCCCAGGCTGCCCCACAGGCAGCACCAACAGCTCCAAGCACCTGAGCCCAAACAACCACACACCTGTTTTGCCAATGACCAGACCCAAAAAAATGATACCACCAGCAGGAAGATGAACCAATACACAGACTGTATTGTACACAAAAAGGACATTCCATGAATGATCGCTGGGGGTACAAACAGATCAATCAGCTGGTACAGAATTGATGCCACCCCCAATGATCCCACAAAGGACATAACTAGGCCCACAACAGGTGGTACAAACAGAGACCCGAGGTTGCCCACAGTTGGCATGGGAAACAGCAAGACCAGCCAGTTAAACACATAAGAGAAAGGTGCCCACATGGCGACTCTCACCCGATCGACAAACAGACTGGGGCCCAGCTCCAGGGAGAGTCAGGAGGTCTGCCCTGAACCAGGAAGCTCTGGGGAGTGCACTCCACAGACAGACACTCCTGACTCCCTGCCAGTGGTCCCAGCTTTTATCCCCAAGCAGACACCTGACCTTTGTTCACTCAGTGCGGGACCCCTGGGGCTCATTTCCCTTATGGCTCTCCCTGCAGGGCCGGCCGCACCCTGGGGGGAAGCTATAAGGCAAACTCACCACCTCTTTATGAAGGGCTGTGGGAATCATCCATATGTCAACCTTAATTTGGGGGCTCGGGGTTCAAACCCCAGCATTTCACCACCAACCAGAGCTGGCAGAGGAGCTGGCACTGGCAGCCCTTTGCCACCTTGCCCTGTTTTTTCAGGGCTGTTAAAAGAGAAAAAAGGCAGGTGCTCACCCATGTGATTTTATCAAAAGCTGCTGCCCTTGGTGCCTGGAAAGACCATCCCATCTGCCTGCAGGACAGCACCAAGCCCTTGGCCACGGCCACCGTCCCACGTTGACTCACAGCCAGGGCACCTAGGCCACCTGCACACCCCTGGTCCCGGGGATGAAAAAATAGCAGGAAAAA